CGTGCCGTGGCAGTCGAAGAGGAGCAGGAACGTCGAGGCCGCGAGGTCCGCGACGATCAGCAGCGTCATGACGAGCTGCGTCTCGTGCAGCTCCGCGAACGCGCCGGCGCGCTCGCTCCAGCTCTCCGACGGCGTGGGCTCGTTCGCGCCGTCCTTCGTCGGCGGCGCGGGCGGCGGCGCGTCCTCCGCGGCGTCGTCCTCCTCCTCGCGCTGGTGGCGGCGCCGTATGGCCTGGTACTCGCTGAAGTTGAGCTCGGCGGCCATGATGATGTTTACGGGCTGCCCATCATCCGTTGGTTTTGGTTGAAACTCGGCCGGGGGTAAAATGGTCGCGGGGGTGGGATGGTTGCGATTTTTTGTTGGGGATTGATGATGTTAATATTATGTTTGTTGTGTATGATTATATGTGTGTGTGTGTGGTGTGTGTGGTGTGTTGGTGTGAGTGTGGTGTGTGTGGTGTGTGATTTGTGTGTGTGTGTATTTTGTGTGTGTGTACATGTATATTTATTGTGTGTGTGTTGTGGTGTGTGTGTTTAAGTTGGTGTGTGTGTGTGTTGGTGTGTGTGTGTGTGTGGAGAGAGAGAGAGAGAGAGAGAGAGAGAAAGAAGAGAGAGAGAAGAGAGAAGAGAGAGGGGGGGGGGTCGACGTTGCGCGGCGGTGGTGCAAGACCGCGAACATCTATGGGTGTCGGTCGCAAGCGACGCGAACTGCCCGAGGCGTAAAAATACATGTGAAAATAATCTCGAGGCATTGCCAAGAGTACCAGTTTTCACACTGATAAGAACAGATACTACACTTGATCTTAGCCAAAAGGCCGAGAAAGGTAAAAGTTGACGCACCTCGCACGTCGCGGAAGTGGGTGCCGTGCAGCGAGCCGGCCCAAAAAATTAACAAAACAATCGGCAAATCGACAACCTTTGCGCGGAGTTGTCCGGAGCGCATCGCGTTCGCCGCAGTGCGCCCGTCTTTTCGTCGCCGCGCGTCGTTCGGCGTCTCTAGGAGCGTCGCTGGGACGCTCAGCGGCACTCGCGTCGTCCAAAACGGCCGCCAAGTCGCTGAAATCGGTGATTTATGAGGCGACAATTGCATCGCGACGTGCGTCCTCTTCCGGGGCTCGGCGCGCGCAGGAATTGGTCCGCGACCGTCGCCACGTCGGGCTGTAAGGCGCGCGAAGCGCCGCGTCCATTTGCGATGGGGCGCCCTGGGGACGACGCGACGGCCGACGAGCCGCTCGCGCCGCCGCTTCCCCGAGACCGCGCCCGCGCGCCGCGGTGCAGCTTCCGGCGGAACGCGCGGCCAGGTGCCCTCGAAGGCCTCGCAGCCGTCGAGCAGGTGCTGGAACACAGGGCCGGACACCGAACCCCGCGACGGGCGGGGGCCGCAGCCGCGGGCGGCGCGTTCGGGTCCGGCGCGACGGCGGGCGGCGCGGCCTGGGTCGGCACAGCCTGGGTCGGCACGGCCTGGGTCGGCGCGCCCCGCGTCTGGTCGACGGCCATGGGGGCGCCCAGCGCTGTGGGGCTCGGCGTCGCGGCCGGCGCGACGGCTGGCGGCGGCGCGGCCGGCGGCGCCGCGTTCGGCGACGCGAAGATCGGCGGCGCAAGAGCGGGCGGCACGAGGGGCGACGGCACGAAGGGCGTCGGCGCGAGGTGCGTCGGCGCGAGGCGCGTCGGCATGGCGCGGGGGACCGGGGCCGCGGCGACCGGGGCCGCGGGGAACGGGGCGCCGGCCGCGCGCTCGGGCGACGCCGCGCGGCCCTGGGCGACCGTGCCCGGCGAGATGCCGACCGGCGCGGCGTTGAGCAGCATCGGCGACGCCTCCTCCACGTCCATGGCGTCGGTGAATCGTCCCACAGACGGGGGGGAGTGGCCCGGCGCGTCCGACTCGTTCGGCGACGGCTCGTCCGGCGACGCGACGCCCATCGGCGCCGCGGCGATGCCCGGCGCGTCGGCGGTCGGCGGCACCTGCTGGGCCCTCTCGGCGGCCGCGGCGGCCCGCGTGGCCCGCTCCTTCTGCGCCGCGCGCCGCTTCTGCTGTGGATCTATCGTGAGATCGAAGAGCCGCGTCGCGTCCTCCGACGCGTCGAGCTCCTTGATCGCCTTGAGGCGCGTCGGGTAGGACTGGTCGCAGGAGGAGAGCGCGTAGGACTTGGTGGCGGTGCCGCAGTCCTGCGTCTCGCGGGTAGCACCCGCAGCAGCGGGGAGCGACGTCCGGCCATGCTCTCCCAGCGAGGCGGTGCAAAAGACTTCAAGCTGGTCGCTGTGGTAATAAATCTGCCCGTTTTGACGCCTCCCAAGTGTCGCCGTTCGACGTCACCGCCTCGGAACTTGACATGCAAGAAGCAAACGCTTACCCGGCGTGCAATTCGGTCTCATGCTGCCTTGTTGACGTTAGCTTGCCTTTTGCGACTCTGTGGCCCCGAGCTTGCTTCGGCAGAACCGTGCGGCATACGCGTGGTCGCGGCCAAACTCGCGCTCTGTGATCGCGAGCGCGCGCTCGAGGAGTTCGCGCTGCTTTGCTGCGTCCCCGATGTCGCCGTGCGCGGTCCCGAGCGACATCAGCGTGTAGGCAACATTCACGTGGTCGCGGCCGTACTCGCGCTCGAAGATCGCGAGCGCGCGCTCGAGGAAGTCGCGCTGCTTCGCCGCGTCGCCGCGGGAGTTCGCCACGTACGCGAGGTTCTCCAGCGTCTTGGCCACCTTCACGTGGTCGCGGCCGTACTCGCGCTCGTTGATCGCGAGCGCGCGCTCGAGGAGGTCGCGCGCCTTGGTGTTGTCGCCGAGGGCGCCGTACGCGACCCCGAGGTTCCCCAGCGTGATCGCCACCTTCGCGTGGTCGCGGCCGTACTCGCGCTCCTCGATCGCGAGCGCGCGCTCGAGGAGGTCGCGCTTCTTGGCCTTGTCACCGAGGGAGCCGTGCACGTTCCCGAGGTTCTTCAGCGTGATCGCCACCTCCGCGTGGTCGCGGCCGTACTCGCGCTCGAAGATCGCGAGCGCGCGCTCGAGGACGTCGCGCGACTTGGCGTTGTCGAAGAGGTAGACATACGCGGCCCCGAGGTTTATCAGCGTGTAGGCAACATTCACGTGGTCGCGGCCGTACTCGCGCTCGAAGATCGCGAGCGCGCGCTCGAGGACGTCGCGCGCCTTGGAGCAGTCGCCGAGGACGCGGTACACGTCCCCGAGGTTCGACAGCGTCCCGGCCACATTCACGTGGTCGCGGCCGAACTCGCGCTCCTGGATCGCGAGCGCGCGCTCGAGGACGTCGCGCGACTTGGCGTAGTCGCCGAGGTTGAAGTACGCGTTCCCGAGGTCGTGCAGCGTCCCGGCCACCTCCACGTGGTCGGACCCGAACTCGCGCTCCTCGATTTCCAGGACCTTCTCGCGGACGCGCACCGCGCTCGCGTGCTCCGCGATGGACTCGAGCAGCTCCGCCAACTCCAAGAGCAGCGTCTCGTCCGTCTCGCGGTTGGGACGAGCACGCGGCCCACGAGGTCGTCGACGTTCTCTGCGTCGTCGACGGGCAGCGCGCAGAGCATATTCAGGCGCCGCTCCACAGCGTCCGCGTTGCCGAGGAAGAACTCGCGGAAGAACTCGTAGGTCACGTGGCTCTTGTGCATGGGCTCCGACTCCTTGATCGGCGCGTGGTGGATCTGGAGCTCGCAGAGGTGCACGACCTCGCCCGCCTCGCCTTCGACGCGCACCGCCACGTTCATGAGGATGTCGCGATAGCCGTTGAAGCAGGGCGGGTTGAACCGGTTCTTCGTCCGCACGACGTCGACACGCGGGTCTTTGTCGAGCGCCGCGTACAACCCCACGATCTCGTCCTCGGTCGCGCACACGACCGAGCCACGCACGACGTCGAAGAGCCACGACGTCGCCGGCGCCGTATTCTTCGCGTACTCGTTCCGCGCCTTGGCCGCGGCGCGCGCGAGCCCCTTGAGCGGCGCGAGCTTGAGGACCGCGCCGCTCGGGCACGCGGCGGTCATGACTTCGCCATACTTGAGCAACGCCTTCTCCGCGACCGCGTACAGCTCGTCGAGCGTCTTCGCGGGCGCGCCGTGCAGCGCGCACTGGCGCCGGTCGTCGCCGAGGTCCTCGCCGCGCCACGGGATGTCGCGCACGGCGCCCGAGAAGTGCTCGTCGTAGATGGCCTCGATCTGCTCGCGGGCGATCTTGAACTGCCTCAGGTTCTTGAACAGCACGGCCTTGGGGTAGAGGAGGCCGTGCGCCTCGGCGTAGGCCTGGACCTTTGGCCACGCGACGACATCGTCCTCCTTGGCCGCGGCGAAGGCCTGCTGCGCCTCTTCGCCGTAGAGCACGCCAATCTCGTTCTTGATGTCGACCTCGGCCAGAGGCTGCTGCGCCGTGCTCACGGCGGCGCCCATGTGGCTTTCACGGGGAGCTGCTCACGCTGCACAGCTCCAGCCCATGCCTGCCGGAATGCGAGATTAATGCAAAACAACACATCGACTCAGCTGCATCGACTATAGAAACTTGATAATCATGAGGGTACCGTGCTGAAGTGATGCACTCCCGCGCAGTGCGGTCGTACGCGCCACAGGCCCATTCAGCGACGAGTCGAGCCCGAACCCGCAGGGCCCGCAACCCGTCGTCCAGCTGCTCCGCCGACCCCGAACCGCGGAATTTGTAGCCCTGCAGACCCCGGAACCGCGGGAATGGAAGCTCTGCTGGTCAACCCGGGACCAGCGGAACTGGCTCCGGCGGCGCCCCGAACTCGACTCGTCGACCCATGCCTGCATCTGGCGACACGTTCCGGAGATAGATACGACTCGACGGCTTTTAACGACGCGAAGCGCCAGAGCGCGGCGGACACGAGCTCGCCGAGGAAGAAGTGGTCGCTCCTGGACCTCGTCGACCTCCTCGTCGTCCTCCTCGCTCCCGCTCTCGAGCTCCGAGTCCGCGGCCTCGGCGATGTCGCGGGCGGCGATGACCTGGGCGGCTCGGGGGTGAGACATTCCCGGCTACTTCGTGGACGCGCGATCATCTCTCGAAGCATCCCTGGAACGAACTCGCGCGACCCCCCGTCCGTCGGCCCCGGCAATCATCTCTCGAAGCATGGACGGATTCCCGGGAACGAACTCGCCGAAACACGAGCGATCATCTCTCCTCGCGCGAAACACCCCGTCCGTCGGCCCCGGCGACGACGAGCGCCTCGTTGAGCGTGTCGATCTCGTCCTTGAACGCGCGGCACATCTTCTCGAGGCGCGCGCGCGCGTTGTTGCCCTCGGCGACGACGCCCTCGAGGCGCGCGCGTTCGACGTCGCCTGCGCGGGGCGGCGTTCGCGCGCGGCCGAGGCGCGACGGTCGGGGTGGCAAGCGACGGACGGCCGCGAGACGGCGGAGCGCGTGCGGCTGGCGGCGCTGCTCGCGTCGCTGCGGCGGCTGCGCGGCTACGGCGACGCGGCGCCGGACGAGGCGGCGCGGGCGCCGGACGAGACGGGCCGGCTCGCGGCGGCGTTCCCGCTCGACGACTCGCGAAAAACGGGCGCCGGCGCCGCGCTTCTCAGGGCCCGCTCCTGCTCCTGGATCATCGCCGCCTCCGCCTCCTCGGTCTTCGCGCGCTCCGCGGAGTTGAGCGTCTCGTGGAGCCGCGACAGGCGCCAGAGCCGGAGGAAGCCCAGCAGGCGCACCTCCTTGTCGCCGTCGAGCATGATCTCCGCGCGGAGGCAGAGCGCGGCGACGACGACGTCGATGGCGTAGCCCGGGTGCAGGAAGAAGCGCTCCTGGAAGGCGACGACGAGCGCGCAGAGCTCGAAGAAGAAGAGGAACGTCGTGAAGCCCGTGAACGACTCGAGGAGCTTCGCGGCGCCCGCGGGCAGCCGCGCGGCGATGGCCGTGCCGTGGCAGTCGAAGAGGAGCAGGAACGTCGAGGCCGCGAGGTCCGCGACGATCAGCAGCGTCATGACGAGCTGCGTCTCGTGCAGCTCCGCGAACGCGCCGGCGCGCTCGCTCCAGCTCTCCGACGGCGTGGGCTCGTTCGCGCCGTCCTTCGTCGGCGGCGCGGGCGGCGGCGCGTCCTCCGCGGCGTCGTCCTCCTCCTCGCGCTGGTGGTGGCGATGTATGGACTGGTACTCGCTGAAGTTGAGCTCGGCGGCCATGATGATGTTTACGGGCTGCCCATCATCCGTTGGTTTTGGTTGAAACTCGGCCGGGGGTAAGATGGTCGCGGGGGTGGGATGGTTGCGATTTTTTGTTGGGGATTGATGATGTTAATATTATGTTTGTTGTGTATGATTATATGTGTGTGTGTGTGGTGTGTGTGGTGTGTTGGTGTGAGTGTGGTGTGTGTGGTGTGTGATTTGTGTGTGTGTGTATTTTGTGTGTGTGTACATGTATATTTATTGTGTGTGTGTTGTGGTGTGTGTGTTTAAGTTGGTGTGTGTGTGTGTTGGTGTGTGTGTGTGTGTGGAGAGAGAGAGAGAGAGAGAGAGAGAGAAAGAAGAGAGAGAGAAGAGAGAAGAGAGAGGGGGGGGGGTCGACGTTGCGCGGCGGTGGTGCAAGACCGCGAACATCTATGGGTGTCGGTCGCAAGCGACGCGAACTGCCCGAGGCGTAAAAATACATGTGAAAATAATCTCGAGGCATTGCCAAGAGTACCAGTTTTCACACTGATAAGAACAGATACTACACTTGATCTTAGCCAAAAGGCCGAGAAAGGTAAAAGTTGACGCACCTCGCACGTCGCGGAAGTGGGTGCCGTGCAGCGAGCCGGCCCCAAAAATTAACGAAACAATCAGCAAATCGACAACCTTTGCGCGAAGTTGTCCGGAACGCATCGCGTTCGCCGCAGTGCGCCCGTCTTTCCGTCGCCGCGCGTCGTTCCGCGTCTCTAGGAGCGTCGCTGGGACGCTCAGCGGCACTCGCGTCGTCCAAAACGGCGGCCAGGTCGCTGAAATCGGCGATTTATGAGGCGACAATCGCATCGCGACGTGCGTACTCTTCTGGGGCTCGGCGCGCGCAGGAATCGGTCCGAGACCGTCGCCACGTCGGGCTGGAAGCCGCTCGAAGCGTCCATCTGCGATGGGGGGCCCGGGGGACGACGCGACGGTCGACGAGTCGATCGCGCCGCCGCTTCCCCGAGACCGCGCCCGCGCGCCGCGGTGCAGCTTCCGGCGGAACGCGCCGCCACCCTCGAAAGCCTCGCAGCCGTCGAGCAGGTGCTGGAACACTCAACACGTTCCGGAGATTGGCGGGGACTACGACGCGGCCGGGATCGAAACCGGGCTCGACGGCGAGCGACTCGGGTCCCGCGAACTCTGGACAACGATCACCGTCGCTGCGCTCCGTCCGGCAGGTCATCCTGGCGCATATCCTCTGCGACCAGCGCCGCCGGCCGCGTCGACGACTTCGAGACGCGCGCGCGCGGCGCCGTCGACTCGGCCGCGCGGCGCGGACGCCCGTAGTCGCGGCACCGGCTCTGGCACGGATGTTCGCGAATGTCGGCGATTCCCCTCGCAAATTAAGACAAGTCTTACGCGTCCGAGTCGCTTGAGCCGAGTACCTCGTCGAACTCGGCGTCAAGCGCTGCGCGCATGTCTGCGGGCGAAAGAGTGCCTGAATCAATTCCTCGGTCGTCGCCGCCAGGTAACGCGCGCCGAGCGCGTCGGGGTCGAGCCCCAACTCGACGGCCAACAGCATCGCGTATATGTTGCCTTGAGCGCGCCGCGACGCGGCCGCGCGCGCCGAGCACTCGAGCGCGACGGACGTCATCTCGACGGACGCGAGCGCGCGTCCGTCGAGGCAGTCCAAGACGAACGCGAGCGCCCAGTCCACCTGGCGCAGCGCGCCCAGGCTCTCGGATGGTCGCAGGCTCAAGGCCTGCACCCCGCCCGGGCGTCCCACGTTTGGAGACGCTTTCAGGCTCCAGGCGGCCAGGCCATCGACGTTGCGAGCCGAGCCGGCGGTCTCGGCTTTCGCCCATTTGGGCACTACCACCTCCGTCCCGTTTAGCGTCCCGTTTAGCATCGCTTTTCGCCAGTCGCCGGCGCCACGCATGCTCACGCTTCCCGGTGTTTTGCCGAGGTGAAAATCGATGCCTCAGGTCCGAAGGGAGGTCGAGGCGGCTAAGGAGGCTCTGAGGACAGTGAAGTGATCAACGTACATCTACGCCGGCGTAGATTAATTAATTAATATCAATCGATCATTTTGGGCCCGCATTCATTAGTCCTCCGTAGAGGTCGTGCGTCGACCGCGCGCGAAAAAAAAATCCACGCCATCAGAATTAGAGTTTTGATCACTTCACTGTCTGAGGAGCCTCCGAGGGGGCCTCTGACGCCTCCTCTGCCGAGCGCGAACCTCGACGGCGTAGCGTCTACTTACGTGAGTTTCACCTGGAATCCCGCCGGCCGGCGACGGCGTCGACACAGGATAACGGGCCGATCCACAGAAGCTCCGGGGCCGCGACCCCGACGCGCGCACCGCGCCGCGTAATGAAAACTCAAGAGGTTATGAAAGAGGGGGAGGGGAGAGAACCTCAGGCAGCACTTCAGTTCCGCCCGCGACGTCCGCCGCCGCCCATGGGGCCCATGCGGCCGCCCGCCGCGCCGCCGCGGAAGCCGCCGCCGCCCATGCCGCCGCCCATGCCGCCGAGGCCCGCCATGGCCGCGGCCATGTCGCCGCCCTCGCCGTTGCGGCCCATGCGCTCGGCCATCTGGTTGATCGCGTCCATGTCGACGTCGGAGATGCCGCCGCGGCCGCCGCCGAGCTTGCCGAACGCGCCGCCGCCGCGGCCGCCGCCGTTCTTGCGGAGGATCTGGAAGCCGAAGACGACGATGAGGCCGACGAAGAGGATGGGCATGCGCATCCAGGAGATGTCGCGGTCCGGCGGGTCGTAGCGCAGCAGGCTCTCGAGGACGCGCACGGCGCCCGCGCCGTCGTCGTACGCGAAGAGGATCTCCTGCATCGACATGCCCGCGACGAACGACGCGGCGAACTTGTGCGGCGGCGCGGCGTCGGACTCGTTCGCGAGGCGCTGCGCGGCGACGAGGCGGTAGCCGCCGGGGCCCGGCACCGTCGTGTTGTGGATCGCGAGGAAGTGCGCCGATGAACTCACGAGGAAGCCCTTGGTCGTCGCGAGCTTGGGCGGCGCGACGTGCGGGGAGCTCGGGAGCTTGGTCGTGAGGCGGCAGGCCGGCGCGCCGCCGTCGCCCTGGCGCGCGCGCGTGTTGAAGGCGAGGAGCTCGCCCGTCTCGTAGGCGACGTGGAGCACGCCGGGGTTCAACGCGTCGAAGGCCACGTCGCTCACCGTCGCGGGCGGGCCGCGGCAGACCGCGGGCGAGAGGCGCCAGCGGCTCGAGGAGACGAAGCGGACGACGGCGCCGTCGGCGACGGCGAAGGCCGAGCCGCTCCGCTTGAGCGCCGTGATGGGCGCGTCCGTCGCGACCTGTGTGCAAATAAAATCGTCAACCGACTTCAATGTGCGCGTACGAGACAACTCGACGAGAGCAATCGATTCGTCCGAAAATCAGCCAAATCGACTTCGATTTGACCGAGCTAGAGAATTTCAAAGTTTGGTCGGGACGCCCCAAACCAGTGGTTGATTTGCACACAGGTCACAACGGCGACCTCGCCCTGCTTCGTGCCGTTGCGCGCGTAGATGCGCACGCTGCCGAGGTCGTCGGCGGCGGCGACGAACTTGCCGCTGCCGCGCCAGGTGAAGAGCTGGAGGTGCGCGACGCGCGCGAGCGACGACTCGTAGGACCCGTCGGGCTGCTCCACGGGCGCGAACGCGGGCGCGACCGTCGCCTCGGGCCGGACGACCAAGCCCAGGCCCGAGCTCGACCTACCAAGTGCGACGGGGTCGGATTTCTTCGCATCTTCAGACGGGGTCGGATTTCTTCACATCTTCGGGCGAAATTCACGCGAAAAAACACTCCTGTCGCTCGACGCTGAGCTCGACCGGAGCGCGGGCCCCGCGGGCCGCGGCGGCGGCGGCGGCGGCGCGCCGCCGTCGTCCTCGTCCCGGGCCCGCGGCCGCGGCCGCGGCCGCCGCCCCGCGAGGACGGCGTCGTCCTGCCAGAGCGTGAGGTTGTAGAACTGGACCTCGCCGCCCGCGCCCGCCGTCGCGAGCACGGGCTCCTCGGCGCCGTCGAAGGCGACGGCGGCGACGCCCCCGGCGTGGCCCGTGTCGACGGCCGCGACGACCTCGCCCGCGGCGTCGTGGAACGCGATCGTCCCGTTGTCGTACGCCAGCAGCAGCAGGTTCACGTAGTTGAAGACGGGCACGGACGGGCCGCGGCGGCCCCGGCGCTGGCCTGCGGGGAGGTCATCGTGGGGCCCGACGTACGTCTGGGCGGACCGCGACGAGAAGCTCTCGCGTACGCGTCGCCTCGGAAACTCTCGTCGAACCGGAGGCCGCGAAACGTACGAGGAGGCACGCGCCACGCCTCGGACGCCGCCGCGGACCCGTGCCGAGCTGGGGCGGCCGGCCGCGCGTGCGGAAGGAGAGGACCTGGAGCGCGCCGAGCGCGCCGTCCGGCGCGAGGCTCACCTTGTCCATGACCAGGTCGCCCACGGCGTAGCCGCCGTCGCCGCCGCGGCCGTCGTAGGCGCTCCGCGGCCGCGGCCGCCGCGGCTCGTCGTCGCCGTCGCCCCGCGGCGGCGGCCGCGCAACGCCCGGCGCGCCCGGCGGCGCCGCGCGCCGCGCCGCGGCCGCCGCGGGCGCGCACGACAGCGCGGCCGACGCCGCCGCGAGCGACGCGCACGCGTCGCCGCCCGCCGCCGGCAGCGCCGCGCCCGCCGCCGCCGCGCGGCGCAGCGCGCCCAGCAGCTCGACCTTGCGCTGCGACGCCGCGATGAGCGCCTCCGTCGCCGCGAGCTCCGCGTCGAGGGCCGCGAGCGGGCCGTCGGCGCCCGCCGCCAGGGCCCCGGACGCGGCGACCTCGACCTTGGCGTTCTTCTTGCGGCCGAAGGGGCCGGCGTCGGCGCAGGCCAGCGCGAGGCACGCGAGGACGCCGCGCAGCTGCATGATGCGACGTTGCGTGAGTCGCTGTCGATGGCGTTTTTGAGGCGAGCTTGTGGTAAATCTGCGGCGAGTCTTCAGCTTTGCTGCCAGTGCCCCGATCAACGTACATCTAGGTGCACCCATAGGAAATTAATTAATAAAGATCAATCATCGAATTCCGGCCGGCGGAGCCAGAGTCATTAGTCGTCCATAGAGGCTGTACGTCGACCGCGCGCGCGGGCGCGGTGTCGCGGCGGTCCGCGGGCTGAAATCACGGCCAAAATTGGGTTATGGTCGTATCAAAGCAAGTTTGATGATATTCGCGCGTTAATTGCACGTTTGCGATGGCTTTTTGCGCGCGGTCGCTGGTTCGGGTCGCGAAATCGCAAGATTTAACTTCAACAAAAGTGCTGAAGTTCAACAAAAATGTTGACTTTTAAATCCAGGCTATCAGAATCTGAGTTTTGATCGGTGCACTGT